CAAAACTTGCTAAATTTCTTTTCTCCTACTGTCCCAATTAAATGATTAAATTAGGTATGTATTTATTAGTTGGGCCAAATCCCAAAGAACACACCAATAAAGCGGCTGTCCTGATTAACCGGTGGCCCAATTAAACGGAATCGACTGTACTTGAAAGCGAAAGAAGTACTGCAATGCATCTCAAAAATGAACTAGAAATCTTCCAGGCTACAGGTGAAAAACCACATAACATCAGTCTTCTCTTAAATGCATTAAAGACAATTCCACCCACATCAATTGAATCGGAAAAGGCATTCTCGGTAGCAGGCCTTTTCGCTACTAAAATAAGAACCAGATTGAGTGATTGGAGTATTGATCATCTTTGCTTTTTAAAATTTTATTATAAAAATTTTACAATAATATTTTGTATTATGTTTTACAGTAGAGCCTCGATTATCTGACTCAATTGGGGACTGGGGTTGGTCGGATAATTGAAAAGTCGGATAACCGAAAAATATGAAAAAATCCATTATTAGTGTAGTATATTATTATATCCCACGTAATTAGTATATTAGTATATCGCTATTAACCTACTTTGCGTTGAATTTTCATCGATGTTAAGCCTAACAAAAATTTTTTAAAATAATAATCGTCGCTATTGTATCGTTAAAAATTAGAAAATTAAGCCTCATTTAAATACTGGCTCCCTTTCATGGTCGAATGAGTGTTGCCAGCTAAAACACGTAAAAATATTAAAGTAGCCAAGACATAGCCAAATATTGTAGCGGCACATCACTAGCGGACATTTGAAATTTGCCGACTAGGACGGTTGGTTAACCGAGGTGTCGGTTAATCGGGGGTCGGATAATCGAGGCTCTACTGTATTTAAAAAATGAAAATTACCTTCTAACTTAGAAGTTTGATCTAAGTTCATTTTTTCTTTAAATTTTCAACTCAATTCAAAGGCATTTTAGTTGTAAGCAGTTTCCAACAAACTTTAATAAATTTTTTTCTGTTTGTGAAAATTTCTACGTAATTCAAAAGTAATTTTTAATACATATTTTACACAGCGTTATTATTATTATTATTTTGGAGGTTGCAAGGACATATTAAATTACTTAAAAATGGAAAATAATTATATCATTCGATTTTGAGATTTATTTTATATCTTAAAATAAATCTCAAAATTGAATGATATAATAATTTTCCAGTTTTATTAATTATATCATTCGATATAATTAATAAAAATTATACAATTAGTTTCCAAATTAATTATATTCTGGGAAACAGATAACTTTATTCTCAATTTCGGGACAAGCAAAGGACCAGGAAATGAGAAACCCTATTTGGTAATATAAAAGTAAAATAATTCGTCTTGTGTCTCACAAGACGAATTATTTTACTTCAGAAGTTTAGTTCTTGACATTGTCAAAGAAACATCACATCATTTGAATGATTAATTTAAAGATCACTTTCCTATTTTTAAGTTGTTTTTATTAATTGTTAGCTTTTCATTATTTTAAATAACATTTTTACTTTTGTCATATCATCAATTATTATCTGATTTTTAAAGTATTACTTAGTTATTTAATTTATATGTATGTAACTAATATTTACCTTAGAAATATACATACATTGATTGCGACAACAAGTGGAGAGTTGGAGCGCTGTAATGTGGTCCCACGGGTCAGAGGAGGGTTCAAATAACGACAGAAATATACATACATTGATTGCGATGACAACTGATTTATATGTATGTACAGTCGACCCCCGTATAAGATCATTGATTATTCCGTTTTATATGAATTCCATGTTGTACAAGTCACTTAAATTTTACAAATACGTGAGCCGGGCTGTGATCGGCTCACGCATTTGTAAAATCTAAGTGACTCGTACAACATGGAATTCATATAAAACGGAATAATCAACAGTGTTATAGGGGGTCGACTGTACTTATATCTACTCCAAATTGCTTAATACCTGATTAATTAGTTAGCCACATAGCCCAATAAGAATCCAACATATGATTAGTAATGCTTATTGGGATGTTAATGTATTGATCTGGAATGCTAAAAGAAATTTTATTTTATGAAACAAATAAGAAGACATTTCATCCATTATAAGCTATTTACATCAACATTTAGAACTATACACACTAGACACTAGTAAAAATGCTATTAAAAAAATTATTGATTTTATTGAGTTTACACAAGCATTTTTAATAGCTTTACCTGATTTATTACTTTGACTTTAGCTGTTTCTCAACTAAGAAATGAAGAGAGAATCAGTCTAACAAATGTTTTTAACCTAAAGATAACTAATTCGTAGATGCCAATTATTGCATATTTTCCATNTAAGTTAATATATAATTATATATACAGTACCTAATTTATATATAATTAATATATAATTATATGTACAGTACCTAATTTATATATAATTTATATAATACTGTCCAGACAATAGAAATCTCTCCGTAGTTGGCGCTACGGACGGCGGGAAAGTAGTTCGGCTGCCCGATGATGTTTGAGGTAATTATAGGGAATTTTTACTGTTTTTTACGGATACTGGTCACAATTTTTTCGTAGTTTTATAGGAATCGTAATTATAAGGACCGTAATTATAGGGGGGTCGACTGTAACTAATATTCACCTTAGTTACATACACATTGTAACATATAGGTAAATATTGTAATACAGTATTTTAAGTTGCAACACAAATGAAAGCATCAAACATCAGAGTTGAAGTACTGAAGGCAGTCAGAAATAAATCTGAAAGTTTTGCAATATAAGAAAACCATCCATGATGAATTAAAGTGTTTATTTTTTTTTATAATAAACTTTGTGACACATTATGCATAAACAAATTTCATCAATCTTCCTTAATATAAGTGAAACAGATCCCCCTTCCATTGTTACTATTAGAAAGTTTTTATAAAAGCACATTGTGCAATGATTTATTATGATTTTTATATTGGACTGAATGAAAAAGACCATTATAAATGATTGAAATTGGAGATGATGCTTTGTCCTTTACTATTGTGTTCAGGTGGTACAAAAAATTTTAGAGGGGTCATACTATCTTCCATGATGAACCACGTGAAGGGTGACTATGAACAGCAGACTCCTGAAAATGTAACTGCTATCCAATGTATGATTGCAGAAGAAGACCAAATATGTATATATGAAATGATACAGGAGAGACTGGATTGGAGCCTCTGCAGTTGCAGACATTCTGCATAAGGAGTTATGATTAAAAACAGTAGTGTCGCAATAAATACTGCATCAGTTGGCAGATTTCCAAAAGTCAGATCATGTCAGAATCTGTAAGAAAACTCTGAAGATGTTGAACCAAGGTGGACACCAGATTATTTCAAAGATTATCACAGTGAGGAGATATACATATCATTTGATGACTGTCTGACACTTCAAGATATAGAACCATAAAGGTGATCAATAATAATTGAAAAGGCAAAGAGTACACTACAGTTTGTCTTCCTAGAATTCTGGAGTCACTGAAAATTTGAGGTCTAATTTTGCATTATGATAATGCTTCGTCACACACTGCCACTGTTGATTTCCTTCGTGCTAATAATATCAGAATCATTGCCAAATGTGGTGGATGTTCAATATGTGTCTTCTGGCTACTTTTTAATCTCAAAAAAGATTTGAGGAGTTGCATATTTAACACAGAAGATGAAATTGGAGCTTCTGTGACAGAATATTTGAATAGCATTCCAGAAAATGAGTTGTCATGCTTTTCATCTTTGGAAGGAGCAACTACAAAGTACATTTTAGCCAGAGGAAAGTACTTTGAACATAAATAAAAAATAATTTGTTTCAGTCCTTATAGTATTACTGTATTCACTTTCAGTTACCCTCGTATAATACAATAGGTCCTTGATTTTATAGACTAATTGGGGATGGATGTCTGCTATTGCTGAAAGTCTATTAAATTAAATGTTTTTAAAACATATACTAATAACAAATTTACAATGTACGGGATGTATTAAAATATAATAATGTTTAAATACAAATAAATTAATATAATGTACATTGAGTTATTTATCCAAACAAAAACATCTGAATTGTAAAAAAATTATGCAAAGTAAAAATTTGTGACAATTTAGACAACAGGCAAAATTTTTTCTTAGGTTTTCTTTGGTAAAGATAAGCCTGGTGCTTGGAAGCATAATGTAGAAAAAGATAATACAGGTAAAAATCTTGTGGGTACCATTTCAAACTGCCAAGCTTATCTTTACCAAAGGAAAATGGCTAAAATATTTTGACCATTATCTAAATTGTCATAAGTTTTTACTTGGTGCAATTTTTTAACATCTCATATGTTTTTGTTTTGATATCAATTGTTTTTGGTTAATAATTGTATTATTAAGTCAAGCCATAAGATGACGACATACAAATGGTTGCCAACGCTTGGTGTTTGGTAACCATCAACCGAACGCATTCAATATTCATTTTGTCAGTGCTGATCCACACTACAGTAATGCACATTTTTATTCTTACAGCTATTGTGTGTATGGTTGTATAATAAATGTATAAAATTAATGTTATATATAATTTAAGCCTCTTTTATATCTTAGTGAATTTAAAATATCATGTAAATCTTTATCTTTATATATAAATTTTTTAATCCAGAAGGGTTTTTACCATGTCGTTAAATTTGTTTTGAGTTTACATTTATTGTAGGTAGCATCAATCCATATTACATTGGAAAATCAGGGTTTACTGTATATGTTGTTATACCTTACATGGAAAAGTAAACTATTTTGCCTGCTAGAAAATTTTATGACAAGGATTGTCATGAATACATACATATTTTATATCTTGTTGATAACAAATTAAGTAATTGTCTTCACTTGGAAAATAATTGAAGCTAAAGTAATTAAGTTACTTATAATAATTACAATGGATATCTAGATTGAAATGTTAGAAAATATTTCAATTGCTAATACTAAATTTTTGAAATTTAACAATGTATTAATAAAATTATGTATATTCTAGGTGTAGCTGAGGAAAGACAGTAATAATGCAGACTATAAAATGTGTTGTCGTTGGAGATGGGGCAGTTGGAAAGACATGTTTACTTATTTCCTATACAACAAATAAGTTTCCATCTGAATATGTTCCAACAGTAAGTAATCATTGTTTTTAATTTAAATTATATGTGTATTTATAAACTCCACTATGTAGATTATTTATAAAGTCATTTGTTATGTTGTTTTTAGATATGTTAAAGCTTTTTTAAGAACATCAGATATATGATATCTGATCATAAATTTTTTTCAATTTTATGTAAATACTAGTGATGTAATGAATATTTGGTAACTATTTGGCCGAATACCTAAAAACAGCAGTAAGAAATAACAAAAACACAGTAAATTAATCATTTTGGTATTTAGATTTAATGTTATCGGGTTAGTGTTGTTTGTTTATATTTATTTATAGCTTATAATATGCACAAAATAAAAAAGAAAATAATATTAGTCACATGTATTCACAATTTATAATTACAAAGATCAACACACGTACACACCTATTTGTTCGAGAATCATCGCACATCTGAGGGTCTGACCCTGCCTATCCTTCTTTTTAAGCACTCGTCTTTGCTCTTCTCTTTTTCTTTCCTCTATCACTCTAGTTCATGTATGCCTATGCATACATCATAATATGCACTCATGATACTTTCGATTCATCACTTTTCCGTCGTAGATTTCCCATTTTACAATTATGTGACTCATAGCCTGGTGATAACAGAGAAGAAAGACCCATAGGACGTCGGAATAAGTCACAGTTATGATTTCACAAATTTGAGACAGCTTGGTAGCCCGAACGGCCCCAGGCTTTCGCCCATGCACACTAAGTGATGTTCATTACAAGCATTTAGCTTTCCGAAGTCTATGACAACAATTGTTTAGCATTGATGGCCGTGAATTTCGTGCCAATAAGCTGCCTCCACTTGTTCAATTATGTTATCAACTCAATTTCGTATTTATTTTCACATTTTCACTTCACGGTCCTTCTCTGTTCTTTTTCCGTTATTTACACATGTAGGTCATTTCATTGTTATCCACATTTGATATCATCATTTATCACATACTGCCATGACGCTCTTGTCTGTCCGCTACAACTGTCAAAAATTAATGCAATTGGCAAAGCGTAGTGACAGCGGGCCAATAGAGAGCAGGGTCCTCACCATAATTCGGTTTGCGCTCCAATTTTCGTATGTGTGTTCATCAAGCCGAATAGTTTGGACAAATATTCGGCCATTCGGCCTGAGGCTGAATATACTATTTGTTGCAACACTAGTAAATACAAATTTTAATGATATTTTTAGTCAATTGTAAAAAAAGTTCTAAAGAATTTTATTTTAAATTTTACAGTTGTATCACAAAATATTAACACCTTAATGCCAATTATTTTTTGATATTTTAAATAAATGAATAGTATTATTGCTGTAAAATCAATGTTTAGTTAAAATTGTGTAGTTTTGATGAGTAATTTTAATTGTAGAGAGAAAAATTTGAGTGAGTAGAACTGAAGGTGGTGGTACAATTGTTTGTTTGTTCTTACTCTAAAACAGTGTTTTTCAACCTGTGGGTCGCAACCCCCAGGGGATCACAAAGCCTTACACGGGGGGTTGCGGGTAAAAGAAAAAGAAAAGTGTTTGTAGGTCCTACACTACAATAAATAAAACTACAATTTCAGTGAGAAGGCTTTGCGTTTTTATTTTAAAGTACAATTGGTTTTTCGATCGATATTTAGGTCTCAACAGAAAGAAAATTAAATATGTAGTTTTTAAAATCACTGATATAGTTTTAATATCGCCCTGGGGGTCGCCAGAATTTTTTTAACTTGTAAAGCAGTTGCATATTCAAGAAGGTTGAAAAACACTGCTCTAAAAGATTAACTTCAGATAAAAATAATAAAACTGAATAATTACAAATATTTATTATTGAATCAGATTGCTTTATAACAAACTGATTTTCTAATATTATTCTGATTTTTATTATTTTATATATATTGTTTTAGTAATTTTTTTGAGTTTATTATATACAAAAATAGATTAATTGTGAAATAATTGAAAATATCAGATTATTGATGATATGCTTTTTAATTGTAATTAGTAACATTATTTTTCATCTTTAATTCTTCATCATAATTAATAATAAGTGAAATTAATTAATTACAAACACTATATAAAATCAAATTGTTAAAAAATGGAGATTTCATACCACTGTTAAGTTGGTAATTACTCACTTAAGTAAAGAATTCTGGAATTTTAATATATTTAGATGATATGTTAATTTTTGTTTGTATTCTCTCAAATTCCTGTATTAATCATGCTTACATGTTAAGTCAACATTTAACTAATAATTATATTTTATAATGGTTATTTGTTTTAATATTTTTTCATCAACAGTTCTATTTAAATAAAGATGTTTGTCTTTATTTAAATGGAAAAAAATTATAAAAGGCCATAAACACTGCATGCCTTTTGGCATGAAATATCTGAATGAATGCTTTATTAGGAATTATATCAGAATCTGGTTTGAATTCTGATGTACAAATTCCAAAAAAAGTTAGCACTACAGTCCATACTGCAAAATAGTAGACACGAGTCAGCCTGAGCTGGAAGGGTTTGTGTCAGATGAAAATGAAGAAAGGAGACATGAATCATAGTAATAAAATTTGTAAAAAAAAAAAAATAAAACAATAAAATTATTTATGATAAAGTATAAAAATGTTTTAAAAATATAATAAACAAAACATCAGAGAGATGTATCAACTTTCATGTGTTTCCTTTCATTCATTTCATCTGACAGGCCCTTCAATCTAAGGCTGACTTATGTCTACTCTTTTGTTGCATGGACTATAGTACTAATTAATAATAAGAATTATAATAGATTTACAAGTTACATAAATTTTAATTGTTTAACATTGGTTTTTAATATCAGTTAATAAAATCAAAATAAAAGTTTGCAAGCATTGTTTATTGGCATTAATAAAGGTTTGATAAGTAAACCACAAAAACAAAAAATAAATACGAAGTATCTCGCAAGCACTTTATTAATGTTGATTGACTATGCTCTTGAACTTTTATATGGTGAGAAAATGATTTTCTCTGAAATTGTGTAAGACTGCCAAGTTAGAGTCCCATTACCAGCAGATCTTTTCTTCCAGAATATTCTATATTAAATTTATTTCTAATTATTAACTTTAACACAATGTGGCAGCTTAACTACAGTCGACCCCCCTATAATTATGGTCCCTATAATTAAGATTCCTATAAAACTACAAAAAAATATACGTATTTTGGAAATGTTGAGTCGGATTAGTGTAGAATCGATTAATTTTATGGAAGAGAATCTTTCAATCAGCCGTAGTCCGTAAACTTGACATGTGTCGGGCTGTGATTGGAACGACTTGTAAGAAATCGGATTCCTAATAAATTGGAACGTATCTATATCTTATAGGGGGGTCGACTGTACTTATATCTACTCCAAATTGCTTAATACCTGATTAATTAGTTAGCCACATAGCCCAATAAGAATCCAACATATGATTAGTAATGCTTATTGGGATGTTAATGTATTGATCTGGAATGCTAAAAGAAATTTTATTTTATGAAACAAATAAGAAGACATTTCATCCATTATAAGCTATTTACATCAACATTTAGAACTATACACACTAGACACTAGTAAAAATGCTATTAAAAAAATTATTGATTTTATTGAGTTTACACAAGCATTTTTAATAGCTTTACCTGATTTATTACTTTGACTTTAGCTGTTTCTCAACTAAGAAATGAAGAGAGAATCAGTCTAACAAATGTTTTTAACCTAAAGATAACTAATTCGTAGATGCCAATTATTGCATATTTTCCATAGTTTTTAAGGTAGTTTTATGTAAATTACAGGCTTATGAACAAATTCTAAAAATTGCAGAACAATCTTTTATTCTAAAATATTGAATATTGGAGTGGTGACCTGATGACACACAAACCTACCTTACTGATATTCCTCTTCCCAGGTTATCATCTCTGACTAATTAAGTGAATATGTTTGCATTTTATCTACAGTTTTTGTTTGAATTTTGTTACACTTTTAATGAAAAAAATTAAATGAGATCTGAAAATTTTCTGTATTGAAAAATTACAAGTAGAATCTCTATAATCAAACTTATTTTCAGATTACTGAATTTTGTATGTATATTGGTGTAGTAAAAAAATTCACTTTGTTCACAGGTTAGTTTATTGTCTTAATCATGATTGTGACTGTTTTGCCAACTACACATACATCATCAAGTGGTAAAGTGAAAATTTTATGTGCATTATCCTGCAGAGTGCTGGATTACTGTATATGTCAGATGGATTATAGAGAGAGTACTGTACTTAATTTGTTTTATTTGTAATTTTTTTCAAAGTAACTTTCTGTGGAATGTTTGTTTACCAGGCAATATTATCTTTGTAAACACACAACAAAAGTTTAATGAGACTTTTGCATTTGTCTCTTTTTAATTTGATTTTTCTTAATGAATTAATGTTTTTATTGTAGGTATTTGATAACTATGCAGTGACAGTAATGATTGGTGGTGAGCCATATACATTGGGATTATTTGACACAGCTGGACAAGAAGATTATGACAGGTTAAGGCCCTTAAGTTATCCTCAAACAGATGTTTTCTTGGTGTGTTTTTCTGTTGTTTCACCATCATCTTTTGAAAATGTAAAAGAAAAAGTAAGTTTTTTTTTGGTTTGTTTGTTTTAGAAGAGATAAGGTTTTCAGTTTATTTCTTTATATAGATAAATTACTAAAATCCTATAGTAAAAATGTAATACATTGAAATCTTGATATTAGTGACCTCAATATAACAGAACTCTCTTTATTATGGACAGCTGATGATGATATCTGGTCAAAATCATAAGAGAACTTTCACTGTAATCGATTTCCACTACTATGGACAGTCTTTCCATTATTATGGACTTTTTAGATGCTGTTTTATTTCATCACAGTCATTGTTTTATTTTGTTATAGTCGTCATTTACTTTATTTGCAAAAAAATAAATACAAAAATAATATAAAATTCAGTTTTTAATCATTTTTTTTCCAGCATAGTTTTCCACATTATACCTAGTTTTTATTTTGTTTCTGATTGATTAATTAATTAATTAACCAGTTTCTAGTTTTGGATCAGTTTTCTCTGAGTAATGAGTCTTGAATTTGTTGTATAGAGCAAAGCCATAGATTATAAAAGAAAATGAAAAGCTTTAGATTTATATTTTAGATTTATATATACATATAAATAAATCTAATATTGATTTCACAATTACTGTATATTAATACTGTGGACAAAATTCAATTAAATAGTAAACAAAATTTTAGTTGTAAAATACATAAGTCAGATTTTCATTAAACTTTTAAAAAATTATATATAATTATATATATAA